CTGCCTATGGAGGGAATGGTTTCAGCTCTGGGACTAATGAGACATCCCTTTTCTGACTGCTTCTTGAGGGAATTGCTATGGGAAACTTCAGGAATACAGGCTTTTTAAAATAGACTCTTGGAATGGAAGGGTCATGTGGTATCCTAGGAAAAAGCTGAAGGATCTGAGTCTCATTCCCAGTACTGCTGGTTATTAGCTATATGCTCTTGGCAAATCACTTAAGCTTTATGCATCTCTGGTTCTCCATTTGTAAAGTAGGGATATGAATAATTTTTACCAACTGGACATGGTGGCTCATGCCTGTAATCCCAGCACTTTGGGAGGCTGAGGCAGGAGAATCGCTTGAGGCCAAGAGTTTGAGACCAGCCTGTCCAAGGTGGTGAATCCCCATCTCTACAAAAAATACAAAAAATTAGCCAGGCACAGTGGCATGCACCTGTATGTAGCCTGTAGTCCTAGCTACTCAGGAGGCTGAGACAGAAGGATAGCTTGTGCCATGGAGTTTGAGGTTGCCATGAGCTGTGATTGTGCCATTGCACCCCAACCTGGGCAACAGAGCCAGAGAGGTCCTGTCTTAATAATAATAATAACAATAACAATAACAATAACTGTTTCACATAAGGTCACAGAGATGATTAAATCAGTTAATGCATATGAAGTGCTTAGTGCATGGCACATCTTAAGTGTTCAATAAATGGTTCTTGTTTCTTGTTTTTTTTTAAGTTTATAGAATATGTCAGGCACTATGTTGACTGATTTCACACATGGACTGCATTTAATCCAAATCATAACCCGTGAAAAAGAGATGGTCATCTTCCCCATTTTGCGATAAAAAATCTGCAGCTTGCAGAAGTGACTTGCCCATGGCTGCCCAACTACGATTTGAATGCAAGTGTGCACTGACTTCAAGTCTAGGGCTATTCAGGACTAATAATAGGCCAAGTAGTAGACCCTCCAGATAGTCTGTTCTCCTGTTCCAAACCAGGGTTAGAAGGCTCTAGCTCTGGCTCCAGCTACCTTTATTTTGATTTTTCTCATTCTAGACTTTAGTTTTCTCTGTGTCCCAAAAGCCTCCACTTCCCCGTTCTGTCTCCTTTGGGATTGTTTCCTATTCCTGGAGAAACCTTAGAAAAAGTAAGGAGCCAGCCAGGCGTGTTGACCCAGGCCTGTAATCCCAGCACTTTGGGAGGCTGAGGAGGGCAGATCACCTGAGGTCAAGAGTTTGATAACAACCCGGCTTACCTGGTGAAACCCTGTCTCTACTAAAAATGCAAAATTTGCTGGGTGTGGTGGTGCATGCCTATAATCTTAGCTACTTCAGAGACTAAGGTAGGAGAATTGCTTGAACCCAGGAAGTAGAGGTTGCAGTGAGCTGAGATCGTGCCATCGCACTCCAGCCTGGGTGACAAGAATGAGATTCTGTCTTTAAAAAAACATAAAAAAAAGTAAGGGGCCTTTGTAAGCTATGTTCCACAGTGTGGCATGGTAGTGGTATAACAGAACCTTGAAAGTGGATGGTCAAATCTGGGTACCCTAGGTGTGGGTACTCTTGAGCCATCAGAAAGTCTAAGTCTGAGCTAGTAACCATTATTGTAGTACCTGCTATTTACTGACCACTTGCAGTGCATCAGGCTGTGTCCCAGATGCTTTAAGAATACTATCTGTAGGGGGCTGGGGAGTTGGGGAGAGACAGCATGGGGAGAAATGCCAGATATAGATGATGGGGAGGAAGGCAGCAAATCACACTGCCATGTATGTACCTATACAACAATTTTGCATGTTCTTCACATGTACCCCAAAACCTAAAATGCAATTAAAAAAAAAGAATACTATCTCTAATCCCCACGGTCACCTAGCCTGATATGGATTATTGTTTCCTTTCTCAGGTAAGAAAACTAAAGCTCAGATGGATTAAGCGACTTACAGATACACACGTCTAAAGTGGCAGAGGGGAGTTGAACCTGTATCTGTCTCTGTCTTTTCACCCATTGCCTACTGGCTTGGTATAGTTGGTGAGATGAGACTAACATATATGAAATGATGATGGGCAATATCACATTTCATATTATTATGGACCACATTGTGAGGGCTAGATTACTCAGAACAAGCTTCCTGGAGGAGATGGCACTTGAGCAGTACCTTGAAGAACATGTAGGATTTAGGTTAACAAAAGGAGACGGGGCATTCCAGGCAGAGGAAACTATGATTGATTGAGGCCTTGCCAGGCCTGATACAAAGCACTTGGATTGTCTCATTGGATCCTTCAACAACCCCATTTGGTACTATTATCCCCATTTTAGACAACCCCATTTGGTACTATTATCCCCATTTTACTGCCATGAAAACTAGGGCTCTGAGAAGTGAAGTCACCTGTCTAAAGCAACACAGCTAATGAGTGGTAGAGCTGGGATTCAAACCAAGGTGGTCTGACCCCAGAGCCTGTGTTAGATCTACTGGAATAGCAACAGCAAAGACACAGAATCAGAAAGGGACAGAGCTGATTACAGGGTGTAACTGGAGCAGAGACATGAGAGATTGAGCTGGTAGGTAAAGATAGCTTATTGAAGACTTTGAAACTCTAATCTAGTTTACATTTGATGTGGGACAGGGTAAGACATAGGGAGCCAGTGAAGATTCTTGAGTAGGAGAGTATCCCAATTCAGTTGGCGCCTAACATGATATGAGCTAAAAGCAGTGACTGAAGGCAGAACAAGGGAGACAGGCTGACAGACTGCCCAGTATCTTGGGCATAAAGTTTCAAGGGCCTGGACTAGAACAGGAGTTGGCGGTGGTGGGTTCTGGGAGAAGAACTCTGGTTCTGTCTAATGGCCACAGTGAAAATGGAGGGGGTGTGGGGGGGCAGAGAGAGAGTGTGCGAGAGAGAGTGAGCGAGAGCAGGAGAGAGCAGGCGAGAGCAAACACGAGTGCAAACCAGGGCCGGAGAAACATCATAAAAGAAGACTCAGTAGAACTCAGTATGGGACTGTATGGTTAGGGAGAAGGTGGCATCAGGGCTGTCTGCACTTTAAACCTAGAACTCAAGAATCCTAAATGTGGAAAAAGGCTTGAAATAGGAAGGGTGCCCTGTTCTCCACTATATCCTTAGTGCCTAGAAGTGTAGGACATAGTACCATAGTACATGGTACATAGTACTACTACTGGTAGATGCTTGACAAATAGTTGTTGACCAGATAACTACCTGGTAGCAGCAGGTGGAAAGATTTCCCAGCAGTGTGGCTTTGTATGCAGGACTACAGAGCAAGCATAGCCCCCGAGGTCTCCTTGTATCTTCAGCCTCCCCTCTGGGCACTCTGAAATCATTAATAGAACAATGTGATTACAAAGCTGGGGGTTCACCCGGCTTTCCTCCACTTACATCTTAGCCACTGTTGCTGACCTGTGGCTCTGCTTCCTGGCCTTTGACAAACAGCTTCCCTTGCCCTTCCTCCTATGTTTCCTGGTCTGTGTCTGGCCTGTTACCACTCAATCCGTGTTTTCCCCAGCAAGGCCATTCTCCTGAGGACTATCTTTGTAGGCCTTAGCCCTCTAGAGCCTTGTACTACTGAGATCTTCTGTGCTTCTGCTGGGGTGAGGTGCATTTCCAGCTGGGATGGAATCCTCCAGCTTGAATGTGACTATGAATGCTCCTGGGAGGTAGGGAGCTGCTTTATCTCACAATATAGCAAGCTTGTTGAAGGCAGGAGCCCTTGTCCTATTTAATCCTGTACTACCAGTGCCTAGTGTAGACCTTGGCACAGTAACCATGAATAAATTGATGAAAATAATTTATCATATATTTATTTCTCTATCTACTTATCATGTTTCTTTTACCCTGCCGTTTATCTCTTTCTCTATCATCCATTTCTATCTACGATATATTTCTCTGCAGTCTTTCTCAGAGTTTTCTCTCTTTTCTGTCATTTGTTTTCCCCTCCATCACCTCTCCCTCTTATCTGTAAAATTTACCTGGCCCTTCCACCATCTCTCTCTCTCTCCATTGTCTCTCTACTCGCCCTCCTTCTCTCATTCTCCCTCCCATCAATCATCTTTTTACCTCCTGGCATTATCCATACCCCTTATGTGCTGTTCCCCATACCACTCTTCCCCACTTGCAAGGGTGGCATCTGCTCATGCAAAGTATACCAGGGGACAGAGATGGGTCCTGTATACAGCAGTCAGTACAAAAGTTGTGGCTGCATTCAGGGCCGTGGCCTCAGACTGATTTCCCTCTATGTACCCCTGACCTTCTAAGCAGCCAGTGTCCTCTGTCAGCCTAACATGGTACCATTCACCACTTTGTTCTATCTTCCCTCACAGGAGTTGGGGCTTCCTGACACCACTTTGCCTAGCAACTCAGGTGTCTCACCTCTGTACCCATCTTATCTTTCACTCTGTCGGTGCCTTTCCCATGCTTTGTTTGAATCAGCTCTGTCTCTCCCATTAATCTGTAAGCTCTCGAGGGCAAAGCCTATATTGGATTCATCTCTGTATTCCCAGAGTTACACATAGAGCACACACAGTAAACATACAGCAAATGCTTATTCAATGAATGACTAAAAATTGGAGAATTGACAGCCCAGTGTTGACCTGTTCAAACTTTTCAATCACTTGCTTGTTCCTTTCTCAGAGAAAAATGAGAAGATTGACCAGATTGATTTTCTTTCTCAAAGAGAAGTGAGGACATGCTCACTGTTCATTGGGCAGCAGCACTCATTTATTCCATAAATATTTATTGACCATCCGCTCTGTGTCCAGCATTGTGATACATGCTCAGGATACTCTAGTGAACAAAGCAGCCCTATGAAGCTGACCAATTCCATATCTCTAGAATGAAGGTGATTTGAGAACTAGGAGCTCAGGAGGGCCACTAAGATTCCCACACCAGTTTCTTGTAAGATGTTCTACTTTATTGAAGGAAAAGAGGGGGGTGGGGCGGAAGCTGCCTGGGAAGTGATTTCAGCTCTGGTTCCTTAAGCCTATTTCCTGTCCCTTTCTTGTAGGAGGAACGCCCCTGTCAGTAGGCCGCACTCATGGCATGTGGCCAAGCTGCTGGAGGGATGCCCTGAAGCAGCCACCACCATGCATTTCCCTTCTGAAGCCTTCAGCTTGTCCTGGCATTCCGGCTGCAACACAAGGTGAGTCTAGAGCCCTTCCCTCAAGATGGGCTGGAGGGACAACTTGGACACTCCTCCTCCTCTGCTCTAATCCCTGGTGGATGTTAGAGCCTCAAGTGCTATAACAGAAAAGAAAGTGGGAGCCCAGAGTACCTGAGTTCAAGTCCTATTCTCTTGCTAACTCTCTGTGATTTGGGGCTAGTCCCTTTCCTTCTGGAACATGTTTCCTTGAAATACCTCATTGGGCTTACAAGACACCATACTGCCCTGTTTTCATCCTATTTCACTAGCTGTTCTTTCTCCTTCTCTCTTTTCTTAATTCCTTTCATTCTCCTGTCTCTTAATGTAGGAAGACCCCAGGGCTCAGTTCTAGCCTGCTTCTCTATCAATGGCGACTCACTGGTGACCTTATCTGGTCTTTATTACCTCTGTCACATAGCCAAAGCCTTCAAAATAAGGACCTCCCTGAATAACTGTTATTGAAACAGTTGCCCAAGAGGCAGACAACATTTTCTGCAGGCTGAGAACCAGCAAAGGTGCTTCCCTTCACTGCCTTTTCCCTTCCAAGAGAGCTTCCCTCCAAGAAGGGATTTCTATTGGGGGTTCAGAGAAGCTAAGGATTCAGTTTACCCCAACTCGGTGACTGTTTGGAAGCCAGGGTCTCAGGGCAGAGGCAGTTTTGTTCTGGAAGAATATGCAGAAACACACTTTGACATTCTTAAGCATGACTCCTGTTTGAGTGAGGATGTGTTTTTGGTTTTGTTTTTTTCAGCAGGAATAGTGGTGCGGTGGGTAGCAGGTTCCCTTGCCAACAAGAAATTGATGGATTCCTTGACCAGAGAACAAGTGAGCTGACTGGCTAAGAGGCAAGGCAGGGAGCAAGAAAGAGGGAAAGCTGACCTGAGGGTCTCATGGGCTGCTGCCACAGTTCAACTCTGGCTTTCTGGACTATGGCCTTTCTGAGAGCAGCCTATAACCTCTGGGGTTCTAGTCAAAGGGAGTTACTGGTATGACTTGGCTCAGTTGGCTTTGTGTGTGGGAAATGGTACTTATAATTGAAGATTGCATCTGATCCTGGCCCTTCCCGTGGTCTTCCTGTGGGAGGTGGGAGAGGCGTGGGTGGGCAAAGGCCCCTATACTATCAATACTAGTCATAGAGAGGATGCTGATGACAAGAAATAATAATCAAGAGAGGAGCAGCTGCCATGTGTTGAACTCTTGCGAGGTACCTGGGCTGTGGTCAGGGCTTTACATTTATCGTCTGCTTTCATCTACATAGCAACGCTCTGATACAGATATTACTATTATTCCTACTTAAAAGACCATATGGCAGTAGAGCTAAGACGCTGGACTCAGGGCTGGATTCAGATTCCAGCTGTGCTGCTTTAACAGCTTAGTGAGTTTGTCGGTTTACTTTATCTCTCTAAGCTTAAGTTTCTTCCATTGTAAAGTGTAGATAGTAATCTGTCCCATAAAGATGGGAACAATAGACACTGGGAAATATAAAAGCAGGGAGAAAGGAAGTGGGACAAGGGTCAAAAAACTACCTATTGGACACTCTGCTCACTTCCCAGGTGATGAGTTCAATTGTACTCCACACCTCAGCATCACGTGATACACCTTTGTAACAAACCTGTATGTATACTCCTGAAATCTAAAATAAAATTGGAAAAGAAAAAAAAAGATCTATCCTTTTCAGCTTGAACAGTAAAAGCATGATGCTCAGAGCTAGGTCTTCAGAGTGCCTCAGCCAAGCCCCTGAGAGGTTTGCTGTTATCAAGAATAGAAGAACACCTGAATGACAGCCCAGTTTGTGCCAGTAGTTAGAGCTGGGTGTTCTTGAGTAAATCACCACCTCAAAATCACTTTCCTTTGCTGGGCTTTACACCAATGGTTCTCAAAAGTGTGATCCCTGGATGAATAGGCAGCATCAGCAGCACCTGGGAAGTTGGAAGTACAAATTCTCAGGATTCACCAAGACTTAAAGCTCTAGGATGAGGACCAGTGACCTGTGTTTTAACAAGCCCTCCATGTGATTCTGACGCACATCCTTGTTTGAGAATCACTGATTTATTTACGAAACGGTGGGGCCCTCTCTAATGCTGATATTCTGTGATTGTCTCTTTTGGCAGGAAGCCACATGCTGACTCCGTCGGGACAGGGACAGCCCAGAGGCAATTTCAGACTTGCTAATGTCAGGGAAATAGAGGATAATTCCCATAGAGTTCTCCTACTTTTAGTCTTTAGGGTATTTCCCCATCTTTCTTCCATATATCATCTTGTGTCCCATTCTACTAAGCCCCCTGAGGTGCCCCAATGTCCATCCTCTTCCCTGTTTCCTCTTCTTCCATTTTTTTGCCTACCCTCCTCTCATTTGTGGCATGGGTACCTCTGGGCTGGCCAGCCCTCTCCTATGACAGGGCTAGCCATGAAGGGAAAGTGATCTGGTGACTTGGCTAACCAGTATGCCCTGTGTCTTACAGTGACGTGTGTGTGCAGTGGTGTCCACTCTCCCGGCACTGCAGCACCGAGAAAAGCAGCTCCATTGGCAGCATGGAGAGCCTGGAGCAACAAGGCCAAGCCACCTATGAGAGCCATCTGTTGCCTATTGATCAGAACATGTACCCTAACCAGCGTGACTCAGCATACAGCTCCTTCTCAGCCAGCTCAAATGCTTCTGACTGTACCCTTTCCCTCAGGCCAGAGGAGCCAGCCTCTGCAGACTGCATCATGCAAGGCCCAGGGCCATCTAAGGCCCCCAATAGCCGGCCTAATGTAGCTGAGACCTCAGGAGGTAGTCGGCGCGCCAGTGGGGGCCACCTGACCCCCAGCTCCCAGATGTCAACTCGTCCACAGGAGGGACACCAGTCAGGGCCTGCCAAGGCAGTCAGGGGCCCACCACAACCTCCAGTGAGGCGGGACAGCCTTCAGGCCTCCAGAGCCCAACTTCTCAATGGAGAGCAGCGCAGGGCATCTGAGCCTATGGTCCCCTTGCCACAGAAAGAGAAACTGAGCTTGGAGACAGTACCACCCGCAAGGAACCCTAATAGATTCTGTTGCCTCAGTGGGCATGACCAAGTAACAAGTGAGGGCCATCAGAACTGTGAGTTCAGTCAGCCTCCTGAATCCAGCCAACAGGGCTCTGAGCACCTACTGATGCAGGCCTCAACCAAAGCTGCTGGATCCCCAAAAGCCTGTGACAAAGCTTCCAGCATGGATTCCCACTCACTCAATGAGGCTTCAGTAGAGCTAGCTAAGGCTTCTTTTGGCAGACCTCCACATCTCATAGGACCCACAGGGCATCGCCATAGTGCCCCTGAACAGCTGCTGGCATCCCACCTGCAGCATGTGCACCTTGATACCAGGGGCAGCAAAGGGATGGAGCTCCCACCCGGACAAGATGGGCACCAGTGGACTCTGTCCCCTTTGCACAGCAGCCACAAAGGGAAGAAAAGTCCATGCCCCCCTACAGGAGGAACCCAGGACCAGTCCAGCAAAGAAAGAAAGACCAGACAAGTGGATGACAGGCCTTTGGTTTTGGCACACCAGAGCCAAAGCAGTCCCCCACATGGAGAGGTTGATGGACACCCCTCAGAAAGAGGTTTCCTGGACCTAAACAGAACAAGCAGAGCAGGCAGTGAATTGGCCAACCAGCAATCCTCTGCCTCTGGCTCCCTTGTTCAACAATCCAGGGACTGTTCTTCAACCACTAAAGTAGCTGGCGGCACAGAGGCAACCGAAGAAGGAAACAGTGAGCCCAGGGAGTGTAGCCGGATGGGTGGCAGGCGAAGCGGAGGGACCCGGGGCCGCTCAATCCAAAACCGGCGGAAGAGTGAGCGTTTTGCTACCAATCTGCGTAATGAAATTCAGAGGAGGAAGGCCCAGCTCCAGAAAAGCAAGGGTCCCTTGTCACAGCTGTGTGACACTAAGGAGCCAGTGGAAGAGACCCAGGAGCCCCCAGAAAGTCCTCCACTCCCTGCCTCTAACTCATCGCTTCTATCTTCATGTAAAAAAAACCCCAGCCCCAGAGACAAGCTCTTCAACAAAAGCATGATGCTCAGAGCCAGGTCTTCAGAGTGCCTCAGCCAAGCCCCTGAGAGCCATGAATCTAGGACAGGCTTAGAGGGACGAATAAGCCCTGGCCAGAGGCCTGGCCAGTCCTCTTTGGGCCTGAACACCTGGTGGAAAGCATCTGACCCATCCTCCTCAGACCCTGAGAAAGCACATACTCACTGTGGAGTTCGTGGAGGTCGTTGGAGATGGTCTCCAGAGCTTAATTCACAGCCACATGTGGCAGTAGCCATGGAAGGCCCTTCCAACCCAGGTGACAACAAGGAATTGAAGGCTTCTACTGCTCAAGCTGGGACAGAAGCCATTCTCTTGCCTTTTGCAGACAGAAGGAAGTTCTTTGAAGAGAGTAGCAAATCCTTATCTACATCTCATTTGCCAGGTTTAACCACTCATAGCAACAAGACTTTTACCCAGAGACCAAAAGCAATAGACCAAAACTTCCAGCCAATGAGCTCCAGCTATAGGGAATTGAGGCACCATCCCATGGACCAATCATATCATTCCACAGACCAAGCATATCATGCCACAGACCAATCATATCATTCCATGTCACCCCTTCAGTCAGAAACTCCTTCTTACTCAGAACGTTTTTCAAGCAAAGGTCTAGAAAATTCCATGTGTTGTAAGCCACTACACTGTGGTGATTTTGACTACCACAGGACCTGCTCTTACTCCTGCAGTGTTCAGGGAGCTGTAGTCCATGATCCTTGCATTTATTGTTCTGGGGAAATCTGCCCTGCCTTGCTAAAGAGAAATATGATGCCAAATTGCTACAACTGCCGGTGCCACCACCACCAATGCTTTCGGTGTTCAGTTTGCTATCATAATCCTCAGCACAGTACCCTCGAGGACAGCAGCTTGGCACCTGGCAACACTTGGAAACCCAGGAAGCCGACAGTGCAGGTGAGGACTTGGTTCTTGGGTGGGTAACCTTCATTATTCTCTTAGTGAGGAGAAAGCTAAGTAAGTTATTTTAAAATAGGACAATCATAATTCCTTGAAACTGTACACCACTGGCTCCAGGAGCTGTTAGCTTAGTAACCTTGAACAAGATACTCAACCACAAAAATTGCAGTTGTCTCATCTTTAGAGTTAGAGCTTCATAAAATGGACACAACTGAGATTTACATCCTGACTATAAAATTGATATCCGAGTGACCCAAAGCAAGTCATTCAACTACATGAATTTGAAGTATGTGATTCTAAAGGGAAAAGATCATTTTCCCTCATAAAACAGCCAGTATTAAGAAGAGTCTCACTACTTCATCTCTAAAATGGAGGAATATCATGGCTGCCTCAAGGATCAGTTGTGAGAATCAAATGAGATTGTGTTTATCGAGTGCTAGGCCCAGTGCATGATGCAAAATTTCACTTGTTGCCTCCCTTTTTCTGCTTCAGAAGTATTTAGAGATGAAAAATTTGCAAATATCCCCAGGGTTTGTTTTCAGAGATCTGACTTGTCTGTTTTCTAAAAAGACAAATCCTTTCCCCTTTCACCATCCTGTCTCTGTTGGAGATCCAGGTCTAAACTGGCTGTTCTTATATCCTGGTTATGACCTACCACCCTAACACAAGCCACCACCATCCCCCAGGCTACTTCTGGGAGGACTCCCTAGGTCCTTGCCTACTCACTGCCAAATTCCTTCCCCATGGCATCCTTAATGCCACCTTTTGGCCCATGCATTCAAGCCAGAAGTTAATTCCTGTGTTCAGCTGTTGCATACACAGACACTTTTGAAATGACTGAGTATATGAATCTGCTCAATATATATTCTTGGGAAAAAAGAAACTTTAAGAGTGAAAGAAGCCTTACACAAAAGACTATGAACTCTACAATTCCTTTTATATGAAATTTGAAAACAGCTATTCTATGGGGAAAGAAATTCAGAACACTGTTTGCTAATGGGAGGTGGCATAGAGATTGACTGGAAAAGGGCATGAGGGAACTTGTGGGGTGGTGACAATACTCTGTATCTTGTAAAGGTTTGAATTAAACATATGTAACTGTCAGAACTCAACAAATGTACAGCAAGGCTGCTAGACAGCCAATGCACTTAATATTTGTGCAATTCACTGGAAGTAAATTTTGCCTAAAAATGTTGTAAACAGATATCAAACTTTATTCAATGTGTATGCTGAAGTGCTTTTGAAGTAGACTGCTGTATTCAACTTAGGTTTTCAGCATACAAGTCTTGTACATATTTTGCTACATTTGTCCCTGAGATTTGATGAAAGCACCGAATCCTAGCCACTCAACTACCAGGGGTATTTGTCCCAAATACTTTATGTTTATAGATGCTATTATAAAGAGTATTATTTTCTTAATGTCAAGTTGAAATTCTTGATTACTACTATATAGAAATATAATTGAGTTTTGTGTATTGACCTTGTATCCTTCAATCTTGCCAAGCTCACTTATTACTTCTAATAGTTTTTTGGTGGATTATAAAATATTTTCTACATACACAATCATGTCCCAGCAAATAGAATTTTGTAGATACAAAATCTTTCTCCTGTACATGACCTTTTCTGGGAGAGAGAAGAGCCTTGTTGCACTGTCTCACCTTCAATGCAATGTTTGGAGGAGATGGCAAGAGTGGACATTGTTGCTTTTTTTTTTAATGTTTCACTATTAAGTTTGATGTTAGCTATAGGATTTTTTTGTAGATACCCTTTAATTGAGAAAAATCTCTTTTATTCTTAGTTTGCTGAGAGCTTTCATCAGAAGTGGATGTTATATTTTTTTCAAATGCTTTTTCTGTATCTGTTGAGATGATCATATAGGTTTTTTCCTTTAGTCTACCGATATGGTCAATGGCATTGATTGATTTTTAAAATAAGTGCAAGCATAGCATTGCCAGGATAAATCCCACTTGGTCATGATTGGTTATCCTCTTATATGTTACTAGATTTGCTAATATTTTGTTAAGGATTTTGTGTTTATGTTTATCAGGGATTCTAGTCTATAATTTTATTATAACATCTTTTCTGTGTTTTTTTTGTTTGTTTATTTGTTTGTATCAAGGTAATGCTAGCCTTAAAGAATGAGTTGGGACATATTCCTTCTCTTTTATTTTCAGGAAGAGTTTGTATAAAAATGTTTTCCTTAAATGTTTGGTTGAATTCATCATTGAAGCCATCTGGGCCTGGAGGTTTTTTAGTAGAAAACTATTTAACTACAAATTCAATTTCTTTAATAGATATGGGGACATTTATGTCATGTATTTCTTCTTGAGTAAGCTTTGATAGCCTGTGTCTTTGAAGAAACTTGTCCATTTCATTTACATTTCAAATTTATGGGGATATAGTGGTTTTCAACTTACTTTAAAATGCATCAAGAATTTAAGATGGATTGGTAGATGGATAGAAGGGTAAATAGATACATGATAAGGCAAATATATCAAAATGTTAATTGTAGAATCAAGGTGCTGCGTATATGGGTGATCACTGTGAACTTCTTTCAACTTTTTGTAAGTTTGAATATATTCATAATGTTGAAAAAAGAGGAGAGGAAATATAAAATAATGGTTTTAAGGACACCGAAGCTGGAACCAGACTGCCTGGTTTTGAATTTCTTCCCCAAACTTACAATGCCTAAGCTTTCCCATCTAAAAACGTGGGGGTAGTAACAACACTTACATCATAAGTTGGTTGTGGGGAGTAAGTGATGTAACACATGTAAGACTTGGAGCAGTGACTGCCAGATTGTAATCATAAGTGAGTTATCTCTTAAAGGGACATTTTGGCTTAGCTTGAGAGACTTTCTCTGAAAGAAGGACCCCACAGATAGACAGTAGACAAAGAGACGGCTGAGATTTGTTGGCAGGGGGAAGTGAGGGGATGACGGCTGCAGTGTTGTCAGCCCAGGACCAGCAACCCTGTAAGAGAAGGGGCTACGATTTGCAGGTTGCAGCAATTGGCAGCAGTAAATCATATGGGTAAGGCTGTGCCTAAACCATCTCTTTTTTTTATACTCTGAGGGAGGGATACCTTGGGTTCCTAATGCTTGTTAGACCAGCTAAGCAGGTCTGCTTAGATACTAGGCATTCAGATACATGGATGGCTGCCTAGGAGCCACCACATGCCCATTTCTAATCCTGCCGTCTGAACTTCCACTCCCATCCCATCCCCCTCAAGAAATGAGAAGAACTTGCAGCATGGGTTAAGATGCTCTAGCTCTGATGACTAAGGTAGTTGTGGTGGTAGCTCTCTGAAGTAGGGCTGAGATCCTGCTACATGCCCCTGCATAAGGTTGGTGAGCTAATTGGCTCCTGTTCAGTACTAAGAAGAATAAAATCAGCATGCACTCACATCCTTCATACTTCATGCCAGCTTGTTTTGCATACATTGTCAAATTATTTCACTTATCAATTGTATGAGATACGTTATAATAGGATCTCCCATTTTACAGCTGAAGAAGCTGAGAAAGCCAAGGTTCAGAGAGGTCACACATCTAGAAAGTGGCAGAGCCAGAGTTTGAATAATAAGACAGTAACTGGCATCTGAGTGTCTACTGGGCACTAGTTACTATTCTAGGTGCTTTACAGGTATCAATCATTGAGTCCTCAATATTATTATCATGATTATACTATTATATAGTTGGGGAAACTGAGATAAAGAGAAGTTGAGTGCCTTGCCTGAGGCCACAAGTGAAAGGCAGGTGTGTGATTTGAATCCATGCTATCACGCTCTGGAGGCCAAGCTCCTGATTGTGCTACACTGCCTCTCCATAAGCTGACTGCAAAGCCCAGGCCCTCTCTAGCGTGGCAGGATGCCCTCTAGCAGTATTCCTTCTACGGGGGCAGCAAGTTCCCATCACAGTCTCCATTTGCAGCAAGCCATGGGGATATGAGGATAAATGCTTCTTTGGTTCAAAGGGTGCAACAATGTACCAGGAACCTATGTGGCTTAGGAAAAAAAAGGAGAGTGATACTGTGGACCTGGGAAGGAAGTTGGAAGTTGATATAGGACTTTGTTTGGTTGAGCACTGCTATTTACTGAGCATGTCCACAGGGCTAGACAGGGCATGGACAGAAATCCTGGCCCCCACTGTGGTTGAACAAGTAATGGTGTCTTTGCAGGCAGGAACATCTCACAAGGGTATCGAGGCAGAATCTGAAGTAAAGGTGGTTAGAGCTGTTCTGACATGCCAGACATAGGCAGGAACTACTCTGGTCCTTTAAAAGATGAAGCCAAGAAATAAACCTCAACTTCTCCATTGCTGCTAACATCCAGAGCCTCTTATGTGCCAAGCGCTGTGTTAGGAGTTCTCTCCATACATCTTTTTCTTTTTCTTGAGACGGAGTTTCGCTCTTGTTACCCAGGCTGGAGTGCAATGGCGCGACCTCAGCTCACCGCAACCTCCGCCTCCTGGGTTCAGGCAGTTCTCCTGCCTCAGCCTCCTGAGTAGCTGGGATTACAGGCACGTGTCACGGTGCCCAGCTAATTTTTTGTATTTTTAGTAGAGACGGGGTTTCACCTTGTTGACCAGAATGGTCTCGATCTCTTGACCCCGTGATCCACCCGCCTCGGCCTCCCAAAGTGCTGGGATTGCAGGCGTGAGCCACCGCGCTTACATCTTATTTATCATCACTACTGGTCACCCAGGAGTGATGACCCTTATTTGTCAGATAGGAAACTGAGGTGAGGTTCAAGGAGGTAATATGAGTTCCCTCAAATAACACCACTGTTAAGTGTCTTAGCCAGTATGACTGCACCAAGGACTATGTTTATTCTGCTCCACCAGTCATCTTACCTCCAATAGAGAGGCCTACTGGGGCAAAGGCAATAAAACTTTGAATGGGACTAATAATAATCACATTGAAGAAAGAGGGACTTTGGAAGATCAGTGAAATTTAGGAAAAACTACACCCCATTGAGCTAAGCTCTGAGTCTCTAGGTACAGAGTCTTGGCTACAAAATGATGGAGAATCTGAAAGGCTATTTTGCATTCAGTCTGGAGCTAAAATAGGAAGGTAGGGACAGTTTTACGAAGAGCACATATGGCTTGGCCTAGAAGAAAAGGAGTTGCTGGGACATGGCCCTTAAGGAAAAAATGTCCAGCGTTGAAAGTCTACTCCTGTAATGTAGGGACCATGGCACCCTGCACTTATATTCCCCAGAGATGGGCCCACCTCAGCCCCTGCCAGCACATATGGGCAGAGAAGAAGGAGCCACTGCAGTCATAGGCATGCCAGCTTACCTGCTCACCCTCTGCCTCACCTGCAAGCAGGAGCTTCTGCCCTCACAGCTTCCTCAAGGGCCAGGGCTTCCAAGAAGATGCTTTCTCTGTTTGAAGAGGCAGGAGGAATGAGCAGGTTCACACAGCAGAACAAACAAAAGGAGCTCCATCCCTCCATGCAGGCAAGAGCCAGGGCCAACAGCAAACATACTAAACTGGTTTTCAATGTGGTTTGGGAGGGGAGTGGAGAAAGACGGAAATAGCATTTCTAGACCAAGGTGTCCAGGTCCCCAAGTGCTCCCTTAGTCTCTGCATGCCTGCAGCAGTGTAGCAAGCCTCCCGACAGAAAGGCAGCCCTCCAGGTACACATTTCTCAGCCTGCATAGCAGAGTAAAAGGAACAAGCTGGGAGGCTAGGCCAGACACCGGCTTCTCACCTCTTCCCATTTTTGAGGCCATCTGGATACCTGGATGCTCAAAGCTTTCTAACTTACCAGGATTTTGCCTTACAGGAATTTCCTGGGGACAAATGGAAACCAATAACAGGAAACAGGAAGACCAGCCAGTCAGGGAGGTAAGTGAGCACTCAGGGAGTTGGGGTGACTTGGTGCCTCTGAAGCTTCTGTAGAAATTGCTAAGGTCTTTGCTTTGCTTCATTTCCTTTGAGGAAACTGGCCTGCTTTCTAGACTAAGGGCTTGATGCCATAGATATAATACAGCTCGCACCCCACCCCCCAGATAGCTGGGTACAGACCAAACTGATTGCTGGGGAATTTTGGAATATGCAAGTTTCCTCTATTAGACTGAGACCCTTGGAAGAGGACACCATACCTTGGTCATAGCCTTATGCTCTGTACCTAGCACAGTGCCTGATACAGAGAAGTTGCTCAAGAGATATTTGTCATTTGCTTGCCAAATGAAGAAGTGGAACCTCCTCCAACATTAAATGGGTGAAATGACACAAAAGTCATAATGCTAGCTAACATTTCTTGAGCACAGTGCTCTATTCTAGACCCCATTTAAATCACTTTACAAGTATTTATTTATCACTATGACCTTATGGAGCTGGGAATATTAGTCTTTGCGTTTGACAGAGAGAAGAAACTGAGGCACACAGAGATACATTCATTTGCCTAAAGTCCCACAGCTAATCAGTTGTCTAGACCCAGGCGGTCTAGCTTCAGGGACACAATACTGCACTACAGTGTTTCTCTGAAATGGTTATTTTACCGATGAGTCAGTGAAATAAGAGGACTTTATTGAAAACTTGGTATAGGTCCTAACTTTTTCTGGGAAAGGTAAATACTAGCAAAAGAGCAGCAGGAAGCATGGTGCCTGCCCACAGCCTGAGCAGGGAAGACTAACCCACACAAAGCTAAATGGCAGTAATAATAAATTACCACTTGCCAAACAACCTACGTGCTACAAGCTGAGTTACACATACTCTATTATGCTTTATCTTCACAACAACTCTGTCAGGTAGGTGTGATTTTAACTGGGCAGTGGTTCTCAAACTTGAGTGGGCAATTGTAACACAGGTAAATAGTTAGACCCGACCCTGCGCCCCTAGAGTGATTTAGCAGGGGAGGAATGGAGCTCAAAATCTGCAATTCTAACAGGCTCTAACAGCATCTGGGTGATGCTGAGGCAGCTGGTCCTGGGATCACACTTTGAGAACTGCTAACTCAGATAAAGTATCACCGTCAGAGAGGCTAAGGAATCTACTCAGGGTCTCACAGCTAGTAAAGGGATAAGCCAGGATTTAAGGCTAGCTTTTACTTTCTTTCACAAGTTGACAGAAGATGAAACCCTGTCAAATACAGGGCTTAAGAAGTGCCTAAAACCTGGTAAGGGGGCAGTATATGGTAACTATTATTGTACACTATTTAAGTTCATTGGAGGGTAAAAACAACTAAAGGTTGGGAGCTATAGGAGGAAAGACCCATAGAGGCAACTAAGCAGGGTGCGTTGGAGGAATCATCCCCACTGATTAAGTTCTGGCCTTGCAGTCAGTTCTGCCTGAGTTCAAAGCCAGGTTCTTCCATTCACTAGCTATGTGGCCTTGGCCAGTGCCTCCTGCCTGCCTCCCTCCCACTCTCTCTTTCCCTTCCCTCCTTATTTACAAAATGGGATAAGAGTCCCCACCTTAAATGTGTGTTGTTACGAGGACTAAATGAATTAATATATGTAAAGCATTTAGAGCAAAACCTGACACCATAGACTTTCAGGAAATGTTATCTGTAATGAGGAGGAAGAACAGCAGCAACAGAGAAGAAAGGTGAGTAGATCAGCCTAGGTAAACCTAGATAGGATCACAAACATGGGAGCAATGAAAAGTTACCATCAGGTAAGTGACATGATAAATGTGGCCCTTTAGGCAACTTTGCAGTATCTGCAGCCTAAGTGGGTTGAAGAAAGACCAATTAAGGGAAGTGATCCAGGCATGACAGAATGTGGCCCTGGATTGGGTAGGTAGAGGTGCAATAGAAATGGAGCAGAAGGAATAGATAAATATGTGTGATATTTGGGGGAGGGGAGTTTGTTTATTGTGAAAACAATGTTACAAGAAATTTAAAATAGAAAAAAAAGTAACCTTATTGTCAGCACCTTCACACCCTGATTGTTTTCATTTCCCTGTCAGCTTTATAGGTATAGACATTTTTAAAGCATGATTATAATAACCATGTAGGTGTAATTTTGTGTACCCTGCTTCTTTTTCCTCTCTAAGCATTACTTGGTAAACAATTTTTCATGTTGTTATGTAGGTTTCCTCAAGTCATAATTTTTAGTGCCTATATAATATTTCACCAGCTTAATGTGCTCTAATTTGCTTAATCATTCCCAAAATGTTAGATAATTAGGTTGTTTCCAGTTTCTTGCTATTATAAAGTAATGCAGCAGAAATATTTTGAGTTGCTATGGCTTTTTTCTCATTTTGAATTATCTCATTAAAAACAATTATGTGGACTTTTGATTACTAGTGCAAAGAATATGAACATTCTTATGGTTCTGCATAGATTTTGCCAAACTGCTTTCCCCACAAGATGCTTTACATGCCATTAGCAAGATTTTGTCACCATTGGAAATTTTCTTTTTCTAATGCCATACAGTTTAATGGACCTATTATAGTTTTAATTTGCTTACTTTGATCATTCTAGTTTGAACATTTTATGTGTCTAATTAATATATTAATATCTGTATTGCTTCTCATGTGAATTATCTGTTCAAATTATTTGCTTACAAATATGTGACACCTTTTGAGGGCAAAGTAGCGAAAACTTGGTGACTAGAACTTGAGGAGAAAAAAGGAAATATGTCTTAGCCAAGCATGATATTGCACGCCTGTAGTCCTAACTGCTCAGGAGGCTGAGGCGGGAAGATCACTTGAGCCCCGGAGTTCCAGGTGGCAGTGAGCTGTGATCATGTGACTGCACTCCAGTCTGAGTGACAGAGCAGGACCCTGCCTCAAAAAGGAGATAAAAATTAATTCTGAGCCCCAGTGACTTGGAGAAAGTTATGGACATAGGTGGGGCAGTTGAGAAGGGGAGCTGGTTTGGTGAAGCTGCTGCCAAGTTTGAATTGGGATATGTTGTATTTGGAGTTAGTGGAAGATACAAGTTGATTCTTTCAAGGCTTGTCAAACATCCAGCCAGGGGTTAGGTTAAGGAAGAAGAACCAACAAAGGAAACTGAAGGGTCAAGCAGCTGAAGTAGTAAAAGGAGAAATCTGCCAGTGTAGAAGATAAGCAGATAACTGTTAATGTCCTTAGTAGTTTGGAATTACAAATGACCTTGAAGAAAGCAAATTCAATAAAGCAGTAGACATAGAAAATAGACGGCATGCTAGTCTGTAAGGGGGAAGCATAGAGAACAAATGTAAGCAGCTTTACACATCCCAAATTGACCTGTTTTAAGTGTACAATTCAATTATTTTTAATAAGTTTACGGTGATGTACAATTATCACCACATTCCAGTTTTAGAACATTTCTATCACCCTAAGAAGATCCCTCATGCCCATTTGCCGTTGCTCTCCATTGCCACCCTTGACCTCAAGCAACCACTAATCTACTTTATGTCTTTATAGATCTTCCTTTTCCGTGCACTCCATATGACTCAAATCGCACAATATGTGGTCTTTTGTGCCTGATTTCTTTCACTTAGCCTAAGTTTAGCAGTTCATCCATGTATCAGTACTTCATTCCTTTTTATTTCCAAGTAGTAGTCCATTGTATGAATGCATCATATTTTGTTTACTAGTCCTTCCACTAATGGATTGTTGGGTTGTTTTCACATTTTGGCTATTGTGAATATCACTGCTATGAACATTCATGTACAAGTTTCTGTGTAGATTAATGTTTTTAATTCTCTTTAGTACATATTTAAGAGTGGAATTGCTGGACCAAACGATAATCATATTGTTTAACTTTTTTGAGGAACTGCCTATTTTCCAAGTTAAATCCACCAGTTTACATTCCCACCAGCAAAAGAGAGCTCCAATTTCTTTTGGCTAATTTTAATACAATGATTAATTGCTACTGTGTGGTTTTTAAAATGTTTAAAAAGGGGCCAGGTGCAGTGGCTCACACCTGTAATCTCAGCACTTTGGGAGGCTGAGGCAGGAAGATCCCTTGAGGTTAGGAGTTCAAGACCAGATTGGCCAACATGGTAAAACCCCATCTCTACTAAAAATATAAAAAATAGCCAAGCAAGGTGGCAGGTGCCTGCTTTCCCAGCTACTTAGGAGGCTAAGGCAGGAGAACCGCTTGAATCCAGGAGGCAGACATTGCAGTGAGCCAACATTGTGATACTGCACTCCAGCCTGAGCAACAGAGTGAGACTCTGTCTCAGAAGAAAAGAAGTTTAAAAAGGAAGATGTTTAAAAAGAATAAATTAGCTAGGGAAAGGAGAAAGAGAGAAATAGGATGATAGAAGGAGTAATTGGGTTTAATTTAGTGGTTCTCAAAATGCAACCTCAGTATCACCTGAGAACTTATTAGAAATGCACATTCTCAGGCCATACTCAGACCTACTGATTCAGAAAGTGAGGATACGGCCCAGCAATCTCTGTTTTAGCAAGCCCTCCAGGCAATCTGATGCAAGCTAAGTTTCAGAACCCCCAGTTTGAATGAAGCTTCAGTCAGGATCCAGAAAACTGAATTAGGTTTAAAACAGAAAGGAAAGCTCAATAGAAAAGGAAGTAGTATTGACACTGAAGATGGAAGAGGCAGGTCCCAATTGAAGGTCTCAGGAAACATCAGAAGGACTAGGAAATGTCCAGGGCATGGATGACATTTGTGAGGAGAAATCCTGATAGTTTCCCCTCACACCTTCCCCCACCACCACCCACAAATTTTAACATTTGCTATGTTATTTCTGTCACAACTGGAATGATGAGTGTGGGTGGAAAAATCAAATGTATATTCTTAAGTCACTCTCTTTGCCTGGAAGCCTGAAATGAATTGATAATTTCAGGTACTTATACTCTCAGTTATCTCCCTCCACTGTTATTTGGTTTTCCGTGAAGAGAATGTAAAAATTTTAATATTAGCAGGAGGGGGGAAATGGTAAATAGAT